GACAGCTTGCGCTTCCGTTGCCTGTTAAAGCCGCTCTCTATTTCAGCGCTGCCAGGGGAGCCTGGGATCATGTTGGTCTGCAACCAAGATCAGAGTCAGGGCCCTTCAGGGCCCTTTGGTGCACCTACCTGGCTGACTGCAGGGGAGGGGCAGCTACACCCCTTCATTCACATAGAAAAGTAGGGGTGGGTTTGGGGGCTGCAGGGAAGAGTCTTTCCCCCTCTATGGATGGACACCCCTGAGCAAGCTGAAGTTGGGACTTTCGGGGCCCAGTTTGACTGTGATGTCACTTGCCAGGCAGAGAGAAGCTGTGCATTCAGAATCACACCGTGGAGGGACAGCCTCCCAACAAGAAGCCGCTCTCCTGGGCATGGAGCCAGCTCAGGATGGTCTACTCACATCTCGAAGGTTAAAGGTGATCTCCAGGCTAGACCAAAAATGGTCCGAGAACTCGGGGTACATGTCCAGCACCTCCAGCAGGTCATCACGGTGGATCTTGTGCAGGTCACAGTAGGTAAGGGCCCTCACGTCCCCATTGGACTTTCCAGGACGTGCATACAGGTTCAGAGGTTCTCCAAAGATGTCATTCTTCCCTGGAGGCCATGGAGGAGACAGAGACTTCAGCCACGACAGCAGCAGTTTGAGTAGTGGGTACCCTCCTTTCAGTCATTTCCACCTAGACAGAAGCATCTCCAGTCATCAGCTCCCAGCCATACAGCCAAGGAAGCATGATCCAGCCATGTTCCCAGGGCTCTCAGTAGATGGGGGCAGCACCAGTGGCCAGAGGTGACAGCACAAGGGGCCAGGGATTTGGAGTCTCTATCCAACCAGAAAGAACCACCTAGCATGTTCCAGCTCTGCCTACAGCCATAGCCATGACTTCCTTGGGATAACCCTTCTTCTGCCCTCAAATACCCTCCTAACCAACTACAGTGCCCTACAAACAAAGGTCTTCAAACTATAAATGACAACGCGGTAATTAATCAAAATCAGCATTGTTTAACTGAATGAAAACAGGGAAGCATAGCTTAGCACACCCAGGCACAGAAAAGACCAACATACACACGTATGTGTAGGGAAACTTGATTTAGCTGGGAAGGGTGTAGGTTGTGGAGTGGTATACATGTTTGGGCTGAACCGAAATGAACATTTAAAATGTCCTAGTATGACATGGCCAAGAGGCTGATGCTTGCAGGACCACCTAAAGAGCATGGGAGGACAAGAAGTCTCCAGTGTCTGAGTGCAGGCCACACACACAGTGACCACAGGTGGGGGACAGAAAGGGAACAAGCCTCCCTCCAGACATGCCATGCTGCATGAAACTTCAGGGAACGGTGTCCGTAGTAAGCCAGATGCACAGTCTCCAGCTGAGTATTCCCCTCCCCACTATCAGAGCTATTCAACTTTAAGCAAACAGTGGACGTCTGCCTGTAGGTAGATCCTAAAGTTCCCTCAAGTTCGGGGGATGTCAGGGAGTCTCTCAGTCCAACAGCACCATGTCCTGCAGGGCTCCTCTCTGTTGCCCACCTTGAAGGCCCACCCTCATGTGAGTTAAGAGAACCCAAGAATCTGGCTAGCAATCCCACACCCACAGTGTAGTCAAAGGGCTCAGGTCTCTCTGGGTTGCAGTGCGCATCTGACCCCATACCCAAGATGGCCACCACGACATCACCCCGCAGAATCTCGATGGAGCCCCTGGAGATGAAGTAGAGAGCCGTGAGCAGGTCCCCGGCGTGCACCAACGTGTCTCCTGGAGGTGCGTGTGTGGTCTTGAACTTCATGGCCAGGGCCCGCAGGCAGCCTTTAGTGGCCCCTCGGAAGGGCTTGCAGTGTTGCAGCAGTGAGCGGTTGAGATGTAGGCAGATGTCAGCCTGCAGGCACTCAGGGAAGCCCTTCAGCACCTAGAAACGGGGGGGGGGGGGGGGGGTGGGTTCAGACAGGCCTGGGGCTCAGTCCCCTGCCTCACGCCTCCGGCTCGGAGGAAACCTGCTCCTCCCAATTCCATCCTCCGCAAAGGCTGCGCTGCAGAGCCTTGGGAGCCCAGAACCCCCTCAGCACCTGGGTTCCCACTCTAACCAAGTTCTTCTCTGGAAGTGAAGCACGGCAATTGTCTCCCCACCTCCAGCTGTAGTGGGGAGAGGACCTGGCCTCTCTCCAGGTGAAGGAGTTTCGCGGATCGGTAGCCCGTGTAATTCTAGGGCACGCTGTATACACCGCAAGGGTGCCCCGCGCCCCTTGGTGCCTCACCGCGTTCATGTCGATGCCATTGGTGTAGGACCAGGCGTGCTGGAAGTACTCCTCGAGGCGCTGGCGCAGTGGGTTGGGAATCTGGTGGAAGCGGATAAACTCCCGCACCCGGAGCATCTGTGTGTGGTAGCGGGCCGTGCCCGAGTACAGCCGCTGGATGATGGCGGACACGTTGCCGAAGATGCTGGCATACATGAGGGCTGAGGGCGTGGGTGAGTGGGGCCATCAGCATCCGCAGGGACCCCGCCCGCCCACGGGGACCCTCTGCTCAGGCCCCGCACCAGGTCAACGACACTCGCGGTCCGGTCACGTCTCAGTCTGAGAGTGGACATACACATGCTCAAACACACGTCAACCTTCAGCATTTCCTGCCCTAGTGCCCCAGCCGCCAAACTATATTGTGAGCCCAGGACTCTAGGAGGGGAAGAGGAGGGGGCAGGGAGCTCCGATGGCCACTTTGCTCCGTCCTAGGGCTTTCCCTATCATTTCTACCCAGCCATGGCTCCGCCCCCACCCGCCTCCAGGACGCACTCACAGCCAATGAGCATGACGCAGATGGAGAAGATCTTCTCTGAGTTGGTGTTGGGGGAGACATTGCCGAAGCCCACGCTGGTGAGGCTGCTGAAGGTGAAGTATAGTGCTGTCACATACTTGTCCTTGATGGAGGGGCCGCCCAGGCCGCTGCTGTTGTAGGGCTTCCCGATCTGGTCGCCCAAGTTGTGCAGCCAGCCAATGCGTGAGTCCATGTGAGGCTGTTCCATGTTGCCAATGGCGTACCAGATGCAGGCCAACCAGTGCGCAATGAGAGCGAAGGTGCACATGAGCAGGAAGAGCACCGCTGCCCCATACTCCGAGTAGCGGTCCAGCTTCCGAGCCACACGCACCAGCCGCAGCAGCCTCGCAGTTTTCAGCAGCCCGATCAGCTAGAGGAGGGGGCATGTTCAGTGTGAGGGCACATGAGCACTGTAGTAGAGGGTACAGAGGTGACACCATAAAGGCTTCTTCCTGGAAGCTCTCCCTGATAATGAAAGCCACCTGGTACAAAGCGCCTCCCACGCTGCTCCAGACACACGTGCCGTTATTCTGTGTGCCAGCTTTAACACAGAGTGGTAAGAGTCTCCATGGTGAGAATGAGGAAGGAAACAGGGGCTCCAAAAGGACCGGCAGTCACCCCAAGGTGCTAGGCCAGAATTCTAACTAGCTCTTGAGGGCACTTTCGTGTAAGTTAAAAAAAAAATCACATCCCCCACTTTGGTAGACAAATTAGAAAAAAGGGAGCCCCTTCCAGCTCCTTGTGACCCTGTGGGTGAACAAGCATGAATTTGTGAGGGACCCTCCTCCTTTCCTGTGCAGTATCCCCCCATTACCCTTCACTCTACCCCGGACTGGCTCTTTTTCCCTGCCTGCCTCCTGTTAAGCCCACCTCCTCAGAGCCAGAGCCAAAGATGAGCAGGTCGAAGGGGATGGCAGCCACCATGTCAATGAGGAACCAGCCCTTGAAGTAGTGGACAGCAATGCGGCCAGGATGGCTGACCACCTCCTCGTTGGCGTTGACGTAGGTGGTGCGGAAGTTGATGAGGATGTCCACAATGAACATGATGTCCACGATGAGGTCAACCACGGCCAGAGGCTGGCAGGCATAGCCACAGTCGGGGGCCGGGGCCCCGTCTTCAGTCTCCTTCAGCAGGAAGGCAGCTGAGTAGGGAGTGAAGACAGCCGTGTAGATGACCAGCAGCAGAATGAGCCAGTCCCACACAGCCTTGAAGGGGCTGTAGTGCAGAATGGTCCAGCGGTGGATCCGTGGGGCCTGCAGCTTGTACTCGGGCAACACATCAGCTCCCAAGGACAGGACCTAGACAGGGAGGGCGGATGATGAAGGAGGGTCATGGGACTTCACAGCAGAAGCTGGTGTCATCCATGGCCAAGTAGAGCACATTTCTATCAGAGAGTACTTGTCCTTCAGCCAAGTAGCTATAGCAACTGACTATCCTCGGACCAGGGGGACATCCTGGCTGGCTTTGCACAGTTCTTACCTGAACTTAAGTCACCATGCAGGAAGTCCTAACATTATTTCCCACCAGCAAAGCAGGCCAGATCCTTAGACCATGCAATCTGCACCATACAATCTTGCCCCACAGTCCCAAAACACACACACACACACACACACACACACACACACACACACTTCAGTCCAGAAAATGTTCCAAGAACTGCAGTTCCCAGCTGGGCAGTGAGCCCAGGAGCCATAGTCCCAACACACAAAAGAGTCATTGCAGTCCCCTCACAGCCCCACCTCATACCACTTGTCCAAGGACGCCCGCCCGCCCGCCACCATGCTCAGGCTACTTCCCTGCTGCTACATTCTCTCTCAGGTCCCTCTCCACTCCACCCCAGAGAAGCCCCCCACACTCTTACAAAGGGACCCAGGGGACAGAGCCCAATCCTGAGAACCTGGCACCTCAAGTATACAGAAGATGTATACCTGGGATGGCTCAGTACACACTTGGCCTGGGCAGAACGCTATTTTCAGATAAGGGGAGCAGAACTCCTCAACAGTCGGGCAGAGGTGGCCCACCATAAGGTCAAGGGGCAGCAAACACATCTATCGCTCTTGCGCCCAAACCAAGCTAGGGAGAACCAGCTTTCCCAGGTGCCAAAAGCCCCCATGCCCACCCATTCCTTACGCTCCACCAGAAGCCCCGGCCAGTCCCTCTAGCCTTGGACCCTGCTAGCCCTGTAGCCAGACCCTAGGCTTTCCCCAAACCCAGAGGTTTTAGCCCTATCCAAAAGCCTTGGGCCTCTGAGCTCAATGAATCCCTAAAGAGTCTCATTCAAGCTCACGTCATCCCCTAAACCCATCTACGTAGGTGGGCTATTAAGAGAATATCTCAGGGAAAGGAGCTAGTAAGAAAGACGGGTCTTGGGGAGGAGTCTGGGGAGGAGTCTGGCCACCCTAGGATTGACAAAGACTTCAGAGAAACCAGATTGGGCAGGAATGAGCACCAGAGCCCTGGTCAGTGGAAGACCCTGGTCTGGTCTAGTCTACCATGTCTTCATCCTGAGGGCTTGTTCATTAAAATAGAGGGTTAATGCACATGAGGTTAGTGACCTTTCAGGCATCAAAAAAGAACAGGCCAGGACCCCATAGAGAAGGGACAAAAGGAGGTAGCTGTTACTCCATAGGACCCCTCTCTGTGTCTGAGTGGTCAGGCCTGGGGAGCTATGCTGGACTACCCCAGACAGACGTGACCCTGTCTCCCAGGTCTGCCCACAACTCCAGTGCACATTTGCATTCATGTATACAAGAAGTCTGGAGCACAAGGCTCAAAGCTGCTAACATAATCCACCCAAGGGCCAGTCCTATCTCTGAAACCACTGGGTTACCACATGGCCTCAGGGCAAGCCTATAATCCCTGTGATTTTTCTGTCCCATGGAAGACTGACTCAACCTTGGATCTTCACCTTGGGAGGGAAAACTCTCACCTGTGCCTGTTCCCCAGCAGGGAGAAACACATGAGCCCAAACAGAGGGAGTCGGGGACACCAGTGACAGTGGCAGGGGTGGGATTCTCAGAGTCACCCAGAGCTGCCTCCAGGTTCTAAAGCAGGAGAGCCAGTAGGGCAGAGAGGTGGCTCCTAGGAGGCACTCACCAGCCAAGGGGACAACGGCTCAGGATGCCCTAAAGAGGTGAGCCAATGCCTCGGTTCAGGGCACCCTCATTGCGCATCAAGCAACCTCTGACCCTTACTCGCCTGAGATTCCAGCCTCCAAAACCCCCAAGAGTAAGCCAAGCCTCCGATGCACACCACAAAGTCCCAGAGTGAGGGAACCCCAGCACCTGTGTCAGGTCTAGCTGAGGCCTGATGGTTCCTGGTCTCCCTCCATCTCCCACCAACCTCTCTGGACACCTATCTGCTTCCTCGTATCTCTCCCTTCCCTTTATATTATGAACTAGAAGACTGTGGGCCACAGAAGCCATAGGAAAGGGGTTGCCAAGACGAGGGAAACCCTGGGAACCTAGCCAGCAGCCAAGAAGGAGAGCAATAAGGAGCTCGGCGGTGGGCCACACTGAAGAACACAGGGCTCCCCATCTGTCCTGCTTCTCAGAAGCCCTCACCCCAACCGCAGCCAGGTCCCTCGGGGCCACACCCCACCTGCCTCAGTGTCCCAGCCCAAGAAAAGGATAGGGTGCTGAGGGGATCACCTACCTCCTGGGCCACCAGGCTGGAGATGCGCACTGCCCGCCTCACCCGGCCTTTCTGGGCCCTGGGCTGCAGAGCCCCTGTCCTGCTCTCCTTCCCTGTTGGGACCCCCATGCAGGAGTTGTCTCCCCCAGCCTGATTGCCCCAGGGCCCCAGGGCCCGGCCAGAGCCTCACTTGAGCCCCAGCAGCAGTCCCAGCCCAGGCTGCCAGCCCAAGGTTGGCCGACTGGCAGCCAGGACCGCCTCTGGCATGGAGCCAGAATGGCTGGCCTGGGCCCAGGGGCTGGGGTCACCTGAGCAGTAAGTATGGACAGCTGCCTGCTTGGCTCTTGCTGCACATGGCCCCTTGGTGTGGGCCCCCCACTACTAGGGTGCTGTGCTCTGCCCGCCTGCCGCCAGCCCAGCAGCCGCGGTGGGAGCCGCAGCTCCTCTGCCGGCCGGCCCCTCCTCCTTTCAGGTTCCCACCCCCACTCCGCCACCCTGCCCCCCACCCCCACGCCCAGCCCGTGCCCGCCCTCTGCCCCGTGCCAGGCCAGCGCCCCCTCCCTCGCAGCCCGCTCTAGGGTCCTGCTGCAGCCGCTCCCGCAGCCCTAGCCCCTCCCCCTCCACCCGGCAGCCTGGCCTGTCACCGCAGATTAATGGTCTCCCCAACACCCCCGCCCCGCCAGTCCAGTGCTGAGCCAGCCACAGTCAGGCAGAGACACCCAGAGATGGAGAGATGCCAGGTGACTGGCAGGGGCACCACACGCAGTCATATAGAGACCCACACACCGTAGGCTCTTGCACTTAAGAGTCCAGGAACAGGGCCGATCCCAGGCACCCAGGTGGGAAGACAGAGGTAGGAACCAGAGAGGGAGAAGGTTGAGCCAGACAAAGGCTACGGGGTGAGATTGTTCTGGAGACAAGGCAAAGGGGCTGGAGACCTGGCATGAACCCAGAGAGCCAGAGGCATGGGAATACAGCCAGAAGGCTGGCCAAGGGAGCCCAGAGCTGGGCAGCTCCCTCACAGGGCAGCTGCAGCAGGAAGCACAGATTAGAACAACGGTCCCCTCCTCTCCTGGGGTTCTCACAGCTGAGACCTCACTACTACCAAGATGGAAAGGAGCAGCTGTGCTTGTGGCAGTGGAGATGCTAGGACGGACAAGAGCAGAGGAGCCCTAACGCACAGAAATCAAAAGCTGGATACCAGGACTTGATCTCTTGACAGTTTTACACCCATCACCAGCACCCCTGCCCATCACAAGAAAGAAGTCCTACTCCCCAACACCAGGGGGGACATGGAAGGCACCCCTAGGTCACCTGGTATACTACCTTGGCCTACAAGAATCAAGGCCTTCCTGACTTTGGCTTTTGTGGTCTTTTCTAGCTGAGGCCTTCTCCTGTTGCCCAGTAACCCCCGCAAACACACCCTTCCCATCTCTGGCTGCCTTCTCTCACCCACCATGGCCTCCGCAGTGCCCTGGTTTCACCTTGTATCCTAGAGTCACACACCCCATCCACTGGCCATCCACACCCGCCCGCCCTAAAAGCATCCTTCCTCCCTCCCTCCCTCTCCCCCTCTCCCTCTCTCTCTCTCTCTCCTCAAACTCTTCCTTCATGTACCCCAGTTCAGGCGTTTCCCCCCCCCAGCCCCAGAACAGCCTTGCCTCAGCCCTTCAGCGTCCATGCTGACCACAACCTTGGCCCTGCTCACCAACTCCAACTCCTCCAAGATGAGCAGAGAACCATGCACTTGGACACCTACCTGGGTGACCTTCTCGGTGACATTGTGGGTCCGCTCTTTTATCTTGGGAGCTATAATTTCCCGGTCACTGGTGGGTGAAGCCAGGAAAGGGTCGCCTTTGAGGTCCACAAAGTTGAGTGTGATTTGGGGGATCTTGCTAATGGTGCGGTATCGCACGAGGTCTGAGTCTGAGGTGGAGTTAAGCAGGCCACTGCGCAGGGGGTGCATGGCCCCTGGGATGGAGAGACAAAGCTTGGTCAGATGGACAGGCCAGGGGCTGGTGGGAAGCCAGGCCACTGACACAAGACTACAACGAGGCCAAACTCTACCTGGGCTAGTAAGCGATGTGGTAGCTCAGGAGACCCACGGAAACACGCCCCCTCTGAGTTTTAAGGAAGCATGCCACCATGAGAGGAGGGCAGGAGAAAGGGGTAGAAAGAACGGATCTGACAGTGTCAGGGGCCTCTAAACCTCTCTTGTCTCTTTCCAGTTCCATGGCCGTCCCTGTTCCAGGGCGTCCTGGGACAGCCAACCCCTTGGGCCAGCAGGGGTTCTGTGAGTGGAAGAATGGGATGGGATGGATGGATATTTAATAGAGTAAAAGGCCACTTAATGAGATTAAATAAGCACTTAATGGGATTTCCATCTCCCAGACTCCCAGGCACCTAAGAGGTAGGAGAGAGAGAGGAAATGGTGGGCCTGGGTCAGGGAAGGCTTGCCAGACAGGCAGGAAGCAAGGGGCTGAGTAGGGTCTCCCAGGCCTGCGCCCTCACCGGTGCTAGCATGACGGGGTGGAGGCGGCAGTGCCCCGGCGCGCATTGCCTCAATGTCATCCGCTGAGGATGCCCGGCGCACACTAGCACAGCTCTCTCGGGAGCGAGTCCGGGCCAGGCTACAGCTGGACCCTGAGGCATCAGGATTGAGGCTTTGAGCTCTTGGTGATGGGTGAGGACCTCGGACGCTGGCCACCGGTGAGGCAGACCCCGGGCCCACCAGAGCACGCCTCTCTTCTGCAGGCCCAAGCCCTGCCACGTGGTTGTCCATGGCAGACACCTCGTCCAGAGCCAGGGACTCACTGCTGGGTGCTACAGGCGCTAGGTCCACATCCACCACCACTGCCCCGGGGGCTCCAGCGCCGCCCATGCCTCCTGTCCGCACCGATGACTCCCTGGCAGTCAGCGCCAACAAGGCAGGCAGCTTCAGGCGGAAAGTCTTGGCTCGCCCTGTGGGGAAAGGGAGGCCTATGGAGCGAGGGTTGACCAAGAAGAGCTGGAGGCCCTGATGGTGGAAGGGCTTCACTCCACTCCACACACAGCACTTGATTCCCCAAACCCAGATGGCTCTATCTAAACTTGTCACCAACTGTCCTTTCCCACCAGAGGAGGGCAGATCCCATGGACTGTCCATGACTCCACAACTGCACTGCTTGGGACAGGAACACATTCAGAGATTGATGTTTGCCTGGAGTGGGCCACTAAAGGGCCTACAGTAAATGGGCAGTGATGCCAACATGTCTCTCCCATACCCTGCCACCTATCAGCCGGCATCCATAGGGCTAATGTCACTAAAACCCAAGAGGTGAGTTTCGTTGTTTTAATTAAACCCCAAAAATGCCACCTGGGGAAAGCAGAGGATCTGGACCTTTGGGATAACTAGGGGGAATCTTACAGCCAAGGCCAGCATGTCTTCCCATCCTCTCCTCCATTAACCTCCGCTCTTGGGACTTGGCCAGACCACAGATGAGCTGAGTCCGTGAGACAGAGCTTTCAAATGAGCCCATGGCTAGTGCTGCTTGAGCAAGCTCTCATTATTCCTCCAGGGTGTTGGGTGGGACCCAGGAGACAAGGCTAAAAAACATGTGTTCTGCCTGAAGGACCTGTGACCTGGGGCCCTGCTGCTGCTCAGGTGTCTGTCCGTCTTGGTCCAGGTGGGACTGACCAGGTCTCTCCTTGTTGCTCCTGGCGCCCGCACATGTGCATAACCCTCCCCTTCCAGCAGAACAAGGGTCATGGGCAGCTCAGGGAAACAAGACCATACACTCCTGAGCTGACTCGGGAGCTTGGCTGCACTTACCAGAGGCCAGCCAGCCGGCTGGGGCGCCCCTGTGATTGGAGTCGCGAGCTGGGGACCCCACCATGTCCTTTTCCATCACGACCTCAAAGTTGAGGATGAACATGATGACGGCTCCGTCCTCATTCTTCACGGGCACCACGTCCACCAGACACAGGAAGCAGCTCCCTGCAGAGTAGGGAGGTCAGGGCCGTGGCGACACTGGGTCCTCCTCCCCGCATGGGTAGGGCACAAAGGAAGGACCTCTGAACCCAGCAGAGCCCGTCAACCTCTACCGCACCCCCACAGCCCACACATGCAATTCCTGACCCAGCCTGGTCCTGCACCTGGCTGTCTGAGCGAGACTGCCGAGTCAGTCTGCATTTCTTCCCTGACTCTATACGTTCAGCTCACCGCCCATCTCATTTCTTAGCCCTCTCTCTCTCTGTTCACCTTCTCTCTCCGTTGTGACCTTTCTTCCTCCACGTTTGCATCTATAACCCCACCTTTTCAATGTGCCCTTGCTTTTCCCTCCTTCAAGGGCCATGACTCCATGGTTTAGTACAGAATCTCTGAGCTCCAGCCCCAGCGCGGCTGCTAAATGATATATACATTTTTTAAAACATCCCTGTGCCTCATTTCCCTCACCTACAGAATGGAACAATAGTTACTCTTAAACTTGTATGAGCCAGTCTGGCATGTGAACAGGTTGGTTACTGTATCCACCTTGCCTCTGTTCTCTTTAGGTTAGTTCCTAGACATTGTGTAGATCCACAAGATGAGAAGGCAACTTAAAATCAAGAGTTTCAGAAACTTTGCAGCATTTTGGGACTGCCACAGTTTCCAAGTCTTCTGCCCTGTGGAAGCACTGGACTGAGATATGGCAGAGTCTGAGAAACACTGATATGAGATCTTTCTTCACCCTCTGCTTGACGACTCCTCTCCTTCCCCCAGAGTCCCTGGAGCAGGGCAGACCAGCCTTCCAGGTCCCTTGGGTTCTCTGAGGAACACACAGTCCAGTGCCCTCCATGGTGATTTCTGAACTGAGGTGGACTCAGAGTGAGTGCCCCTGACAGGGCCAAGCTAAGAATCCCACCTGCAGGAAGTCCTCCTTGATGAGTCAGAAGGGCACAATGACATCCTGGCCCTCTCACAGGGACCCAGACAGGCTGTTATCTCCTGTCTATCATCACCCAAGCTTCCCTCTGCTCATCTAGCTTCTCTGCCTCCCAACGGTCACATCCATTCTGAAGGGTCCAACACCTAGAATAACTAACATGCCCTGGAAGCCAGAGATGGACTGTGGTGGCAGTGGCACAGCCATCGTGGCAGGGAAAAGAAG